AGGGACCTATGCAATCTGAAATTCACACTAAAGCCCAAGAACAGCGTTAGTGTTGTGTCTCGCAAACAAGAGGGGAATAAAAGATCCCTCTAAACCCTGAGATAACAAAACTTCTGTACTCTCATTCCCACTTCATTCCATTTCATCCCCCCTGACCACAAACCCAAACAAAACATCCGAAACAAGAAAACGTAGAGCTGTATATGCAGCGCAGTCAGAATTATATCCGTTTATTAAATATTAGTCCTAGGTAATCAGGGAGGTCAGGCTTGGGTGTTTTGACTTTCTGCTCAGGTGGACTTCAGCCTAGACCAATAGGGGAAGCTGAGAAATGGAGATTTTTATGTGTGGCCACGACCTCTCACACAAACAAAAACACACACACCAACACGCTCCACGGCCATCACCGCCCACATCCCGCACCTAATAGCTTGCAGCCTTTTCGGTGGTCACAGCCATCCTGCCCTATACTTCTTAATCACGTCGTCTTCGCCCCACAGAATGACCACCGGGTACTTTCCCAAAGAGAAACAGTGAAAAACGATAGTGATCCCAACCAGGCAACATTTTACGCTCGCCTTTGCCAGGACAGAAACCGACACGCTCTGCTACTTCCAGGTCCCGGCACGGAAACGACGAGGGGACTCGCTCCCGGGGCAGGGTTCGTCCACACCTGTCATCACAAGGGGGCGGAAGGAGCGAGGAAGAAGCCGGGGGCCACCCTTGGCACATTCCCAGATCCTACTCACCCCAGTCTTCACCCGGTCGGTGAGGGAGTCCCGGACTAAAAGGGGACTCCATGGTGCCGGTAGCACCAGCCGGCTCCTCCGAAACACACGGTCCTCTGACTAATCTGGGACGGCGGCGATGGGCGGACAAAATACTCCGCAACGCTGACGCGACGGTGGCCGGGTGAAGACAAACTGCTTCTCCTGCACGTCAGCGAAAACGGATTCAACAGATCCCTGTGTAAGCATTTCTCTCTTGGCGTTTTCTGCACTTTCTGTCCCGCTATTTCAAGAGTGAAAAAAAGAAGACACATAAACACTACTTCGGTTAAACAAAATGTATTAATTGTATTAAAAATAAAAAGTTAAACCCTATACCGCACATATTGGCTTGTCCCCTAAATTCCTTCTTAATACCACAGTGTAGGTAACTCAGAATTAAAAATTAATAAGTAAATTCGGTTTAATGTTTAGAATAACTTGCTATAAATGTAAAAATTCTCCATCTACAAAGGTGTGTGAAACACACGAGTGTTGTTCCGTGTTCGTTAGAACTGCCTCTTTCTGGGCACAGGGTATGAGGCAAGCAGTAATACTATGAACCGTACTTCTAGTAAGGCTACTTTTAAACCAATTTAAAGAAAGCAGATATAAAAGTTACCTCCCCCATACTCTAACCTAGCTCCTAAATACGCATCTCCAAAGCATAGTATTTAGTAAAGTCCAAGCGAACTTACCTCAAGACCTGCAATAATATAAATTCCCAATCTTTTTATTATAAAAATTTAAGATTCAGTTTTGCTTAGAATAAATTCACACACACCACAACCTCCAACTAAAAATTTCAACTGAGTTTGATAGAAGTTTCAGGAACGCTACTTAATGTAATTTTTTTTTTTTAAGCATTGCCTTGGTGAATGTTTATAATACTCTAAGAACACGCATCCCTCTAGGACCAAGTGCATATTTCCCGTGGTTACTAAACAAAACAAATGCTTCCCAGAGTTCTCCAAACTCCTCGTGGCTGGCTGATTACTACAGGTTACATAAGCCGCAATATACGAAACAGACCTGGGACCCAAGCCCAAAGAAATTCACGAAACGGTTCCTTCTAACATCAGATAACTAAGTTTTCGTTTAAGGTGAAATATATACATATAACTTTTATTCTCACTCAACTTCAAATTCAAACATTGGCATTAAAAACTAAAACCACTCTATTCTGTGTCCATCAGACATCTTAGTCTTAAAAACAAGAACACCATGACTGAACTTCAGCAAGTTTTTTTTAATTTTCAAAGTTTTTATTCAAAAAGTGCAGATAATTATGAAACATTTGTGTGCCTATCACCAAAAATTAACAAACACTAATTTCAATTTTCATTTCAAATTTTTCGTAAGAAATTAAACATTACAGGTAAACCATGCTATTTCCTCTGCTTGATTACCCTCCCTCCACACGGACAATTTCTATTATGAATTTTTAAAGAATCATTCAAGTCCATTTTTATCTTTATTTTTATGCTGTTTAAATATGTTTAGATACATTTAATGTTTTCTGGGGATTTTTAAATTTACATAATCATGTTCTCCAAATCATTTTCTTATTCAACATTACTTCTGATTTTTCATGTTATAACTGTTACATGGTACTTCCTTGAATACATATATATCACAATTTTTCTTTAAATTTCCCTACTGATGGATATTAAGGTTGTCTCCATTTTTTACTTTTTCATAAAATATATTATTGTAAAGGTCTTTGGACATATATACATATATGAAGGAATGTATTTAAGATACATCCTGGGTCAGTCATACAGGAGGAGTATTAGTATTTGCCAAATTATACCAACTTACACTCTAGCTAGCAGTGAGGCTCTCTGCTATTTTCACCAAGATAGGCCATTTTTTTTGCCACTGTGAAGGGTGTGACTATACATTTCCCTGACAAAGAGGTGGTGCATCTTTTCCACCTTTATTAAACCTTATCTCTTCTGTGAATTGCCTATTCTGGTCTTTTATAAAATTTGCTGATTTTCTTACTCATTTCATTTAACTGCTGTGTATGTTCCAAGTACCTTCTCATAGGTTGGCCTTGTCTTTTTATGAGGTTTTTGCCCTCGGTTTTAATTTCAATGTAACCAAATTTATCAATCTTTTATGATCTCTGCTATTTGTATCTTGTGTAAGAAATTCTTCCCTCTCATGAAGTTATTAAGATTTCCTTTTAAATTTTCTTTCAAAATTTAAATATTCTTTCAAACTATACAACTATAGTTGTATAGTTTCGTTTTCCACCTTTTCTTTTTCTATTTGGCTATTGCTGGGGTATAGTAACACTTGATTTTTGTACAACAATCTTGCATCCGAAAAACCTTGCTAAATTATGTGATCCTAACATTTTGTCTGTAAATTCTCTAGGATATTCTACGTAGAAAAACTTACTGTATGCAAGCACTAACCTTTTAAAATTCATTTTTGTTAATTTTTAACCTTTAATATGTAAAATGTCAAACACAAAAGACAGTTATGATGAATGAATCCTTGTTCCTAGCACCCAGCTTCAATTTGCCATTCTTGTTTTATCCTCTTTCCCCACAACACTTATTTTTCATTTGCCTTTCCCCCTGAAGTGTCTTAAAGCAAATCCTAGGTATCATGTTATTTCACCTATAAATACCTCAATACGTATCACAAAAAATGTTTTCTTTTAAACTTTTTTAAAAAAACTTAAAAAACATAACTTAAGTGCCATCATCATATCCAACAAGATTAGTAATTCTGCAATATCATCTAATACCCATTCTATTTTTAATTTTGTCTCAGAATGCCTATGGTTGGTTTAAATCACGATCCAAACTAGACGGTCACACTGCATTTGGTTTATATAATAATTTCTTCAACCCATGCCTTTTGTTGAAGAATTTGTCCAGAATTTCTACTTCGTGATTCTGTTGATTGTAGCTTCATGGCAATTTGTTCTTGTAAACTGCCAATTAAATCTAAAGGCTTGATTGGGTGCTTTGGTTTTCTCATTTGTTTTTGCAGGAATACTTCGTAGATACTTCTTGCATCCTATCAGTAAACACATAATTTCTAATTATCCCACTTTTGGAGATATCAAGATTTATCAGTGAGTTCAGGTTTTTTCTCCTAAGTCTTAAACCCTTTTTTCCCCTTATATTATTGCAATGGCTAGGACCTCTAGTACAGTACTGAAGGTAGATATGTGAGTAGGTATATTATAACTTGCTCCCAACTTTGAAATAAAAGTTCCAGAAAGTTTTACCATTAAGATTTTTTTCTGTAGTTTTTTTAATACAAAACTTTCATTTTCAATTTTCATCAAGAAATTTTCTGTGGTTGAGGGTTTTTATATATATACTCTGATTATTCACTCCTTCCATTCTAGTTACCATGCTTTCTTTTTAAAAAATGTTGAATGTTACTGAATCCTTTCTTAATTTTTTATTTGCTTTCAACATAAACCCTTGAAAGAGAAATGAAATTTAAAAGAGTTTTTGTCTAGGGACATAAAGGATCTCCTTGCCTAGATCCACACTTGAGAGGTCTCTGCTCTGGCATTTGGCACTGTCTCTTCCCACAGGGCAGGAATCCATGGTGTCAAGGTGATGCGCCATCCAGAACACACGGCCCTTTTAGACGTACCCAAATAGCCCCCAGCATGCTTCTAAGGTTTGCTCAGGCCTCTGACTTCCTGGGTGAATTGTGCCAATGGTGTATGATGAATGAATCCTTGGGTGTAGACGGAATTTAGAAATGTGAGTTGGGGAGTCCACATATACATATGCACCAGGCATATGAACAAATCCAGGGGTGTGGAAAGGAGGCAGTCTGTGGGTCAACTCTCCTCACATTGCCATCATAGAACTCCACAAAGTCAGGGAACTGTAAATCCAAATCTTTACCTTCCAGGTCATTATGAGGGTATATTTGTCAAGATACAAGAATAAAACATTTAATAGTTTGGTAGCTTGATTTTAAAATATTAAGACAAATAGTATGTGGGCCTCAATCTGTACTCTTGTCAGAACTCTGTAAATATTGGTGGGCTATCTAACTAACTTACAACTTGGTTTGAAACCGCATTTCATCAGTACTATTAGATTTTACAATCTGATTAACATTTTCAGTGTAACGTCTTTATATCATCACCTTGAAGAGTAAACCCAAACTTTAGGAGACAGAGGTTAAAAGCTCAGATTTTGGAATAAACCAAACCTTGGTTCTAATCTAGGTTCAACCATTTGCTAGCAATGTAACTTTGACCAAGTGACTTATCTTTCTAAGCCTCAATTTTGCCTATAAAATGGGAATAATATGACCTATCTCATAGGGTCGTTGGGAAGATTAAATTAGGTAATACATATTGAATGCCTAGCATAGTGACTGGCACATGGTAAATTCTCAGTAAATTGCAGCTATTTTAAGGAAAAATGTTTAATGCTACCAGCTAGGCACTATATTAAGTTCTTTACTTGTATTATACCACAAAAATCCTCTAAAAACCCAGATGTAGATACTATTTTATGTAGGAAAGAATTAAGGCTAATGCAAAGAATCTTTAAAACAAACTTGTCAGGAGCACAGAGCATGTGTTAATCCCATTTTGCAAAGGAGAAATCTGACCCTCAATTTTCAAAAGACTTGCTTACTCCAGAAAGATAGACATCAGTAGAGCCAGAATTACTACAGCCCACTCTCTGAATTCTACTTCAGCACTATCTTCACTGCATCACACTGTCTCTGAAATAAAGTTAATATTGTTATTTTCAACAAATGTGTAAACTCAAATGTTCTAAGTTGATATTCTTAAATATGAAAAGGAATGAGTTCTGTTTGTTTGAAAACAAAGGCATAATGGATTTTCTATCTAGCCCAAAAGTAAAACATTGAGACTTAAATCTGAAAATGTTGCTTAGTGGACGTTTCACAAAATTTCAAATTTCGCCTAGAAAAAAGTCAAGTTTCCCAAACTCATTCCTCACTAGCAAACACCAACTCTCTTTCAAAAAAGGTATATATCCTGGCTAGAATATAAATTGTAAGAAGGCAGGGATTTTTATCTAGTTTGTTCACTATATCATCTAACATTGTGCATATAATAGGTGCTCAGTAGATATTTACTGAATTGATAATTCTAAGTTCAAATAAAATCTGCATACTTTTCTCAGTGCTAGACGCTACACTGCGTGATGAGGAGGTATTAAGCCACATGAAACTGCTGCTATTCAACTACTTTTCACCTACAAGGAGCAATTTCATATGGTTCAAACTAATTGTTTATAAAAAGCTTTCTAGAGTATATTAAAACAAAGCAAGCATAAATTGTGAAAGCTAAAACAGAAATGAAGAGATTTTTTCACTCATAAGGAAAAAGATTACATGAAAATTGCCAAAGACTTCAGGCCCTAAATTGAGATATTCTCAGGTATGACACTTCCATACATTTCAAAAATTAAACTAGGCATTTTTTAAGAGGATCATTTTCACTTTTTTTTTTTACATTTAAAGTAACTCCCACTCCCACTTCGGTGTTTATATACATATACATGTATAAATATGCAAAATGTCTTGGGAATATGGACTATATTTCTCTGTATTAGCAATTGTGATTCATGTAAATGTTCAAATATCTAATTAGATCCAATTTTAACTATTAGTAGTGAGTAAAAATAATTTCAGTTTCCAGAGAATCTGAACATACTACCTTTTCAAATACTCTTAACGTTATCAGGCTAAAAGAGTAACTGGTATATAGTCATTCCACATTTGTTTTCTTTGTCATTAGAAACACACCTAACATTAATACATTTCTTTAAGTACTTTACTTCTAAGGGTATCTTAAACATGCTTTTCTAAAAATTTAGATAACTGGGATTCCTGAACAGTAATAGGAAAATAGCATTTTAATCATTGTTTTACTAATGGCCTTTCCTTCTACATTTACAATAGAAATCCAAACATACATTGATTTACTCATGCCCCTTAAAAGAGATAAAGAAAAATAAATTTCAAAATATGTCCAAACAAATCTGCTTTACAGTTCCAGAAATTAAAGAATATCTATTTAAACATGATTATTTGCGATTTTTGTATATAATTCTGTCTGTCCAAACCTTAAGATCACATAACCAACATTCTAAAAATCAGAACCCTTAAATTATATGAAACAAAATAAGTATCTGGGTTACAGAAGATTTTAATATCAAAGTATAATTTACATGATCGTAAGTTTTGATTTCCATATAAAATATTCTACTTAAATAGTGTAAGCAACTAACAAAGCACAATTTATAGATCACATCAAGTGATTTTCATCTTCACACATTTTTAATGAAATGTTGATGGCTAAAAGCTAGGCAATCTGACAGTGAATGACAGACAGTAAGAAGGGTAGCGCATACCATCAGCTTGTTTCTTTCCCAGCTATTAAATGTCACAAGTTCATATTTTTCTTGCTTGTGATCCCAAAACTGGCAGCATTTTCATTTCATCCACTCTATTCTTATGTATTTGAAAAGCAGGTGTTATCCATCTACCGCATGAGCACTGTTCACCATACCAATTGAAAGAACCCAACTTGGCATTGCATTTGGGGCAAAGAAGCTGAAATAAAACAATTGGTTACTTCTCTCATTCACTTTTATAAAAAATAAATAATTATCTTTGACACCATAGGATATAAAAACAGGTAAGACATGTTCCTACGTTCAAGGAGTTTCTGATATAATCAGTGAGATGATATGCAATGGCAATTTATTGTAATAGATGATACACCACAATAATTGTGTAAGAAGCATGTGGCGCCCTGGGAGTTTAAAGAAGGATCAGATTAATTTCAGCATGAGGGGAGAAATGTGAAACTTGAGACACAAAACAAAGGTTTCATGGATGTGGCATATGTACTGGATTTTAAATCAGCCTGCAACTTAAGATTTCAAACTAAAATCATCATGGTTAAAGAATAGGAAAGCATGTTTAATATTCTCATATTGTATTACTAACTGATACTGACAGCATGTAAGTTAGGTCTCAGATTCCAGGCCATTGAAAAATAAACTCTTACTCCATTAAAATAGATAAATCCCAAAAAGCTTAACAAATCTATTGCATTTTATTCTAATGTATTTATAGCTTTACTTTTTATATTTAGCTCTTTAATTTGTACATGGTTTGAGTTAGGGATTTTTATTTTTAATCTTAAAGTATACAAAGTGCAGACATAAAACTCAGAAACCAGATCAAACTCAGATACCTAAGCATCTTAAATCTTAATTATGTCAAAATATACAAGGTGGATAAAAGCAACAAACTGAAGAAAATATTTGCAATATATTAGATGAATCATTAACATCTAGACTGTATAGAGTGCCTACATATCAGTAAAAGACAAAACCCACAGAAAAATGGGCCAAGAACGTGAAGGAAATTTACAGAAAAAGAAACTATAAGTGACTGATTAAGTATACAAAGATGCTGGTCCTCAGTAATAGTCATGCAAATTCAAATTAAAGTACTTTAGGATGAATATTTTTCATCTCACAGATTCACAAAACTTTACCAGTTTTACAGTATCCATTATGCCAAGGGTATAGGGAACTGAGTTACACGCATTCAATATTAATGAAAAGCAAATCTGTATGGGCATTTTTAATGTCAGGCTGGATTACTGGTATAATATTTAATTTGTATATGAAGTAATATTTAAAATGTACATGCTCTTTAAGCCAGAAATTCTACTTTCAGGAATATATTCTATAGGAAAATTCAAATAAGTGTACATGGAAGTATGTACAAATGTGATCTAGAGTGGTCCACAAAAGTGCCCTTATACTGTGTTTTCCAGGTTAAATGAAAACAGCACACCAAAAGCACAAGCCACAAAAGAAAAAATAGATAAAATGGACGTCACCAAAATTAAAAACACTACTGCTGCAAATACCATCAGAAATGGGAGGTGGGCACAGGGTTTCCTTGGGGTCATAAAAATGGTGATGTTGCAAAAAACTCCATATACTAAAAGCCACTGAACTATATACTTTAAATGAGTTTATTATACAGTAAGTGAATTGCATCTCGGTAAACCAGCATCATCTGAGAACAAAGATTTGAAAATAGGGTACCTCTTTCTAGACGCTAACTAATGTAAATTAAGTTTCCTCCCGTATAACATTTGAATATATCTGCTCTACCTATTGCATAAAGTTATTGCATTCTTCAGATGCAGTAATATTTTGGAAGAGTTTCATGAAACATTCAATATAGAAACCTATACAAACTTTTGTACAAACCATACAAACTTTAAAATCATTAAGATTAACTGTATCTTAGATGAAGAATATCTTTAGATTAATATCAAGTAAACCTAAAGGAGGAACGTGGCTGTCACAGGAGAATGCATGATCTGTATTTGTTTGCATTAACAGGAAATGAAAAAGATTATGAACATACGAAACTGAAAAATCAGGAAAACAGAAATTCATGGAGCTGAAAGAGAAAAAGCAGCCGAAGAAAAGGAAGAAATTTTAGATCTAATTTTAAGATCCTTGGTTTGCCTTACTTGCTACGAAGTTCAAGTTTTGTTAAATATATTCTAATCCACTTATGTTAGTCTTTTATTTGAAAAAATACAAATAATAGCCTTAAGATCAATAGCTCTCAAATAATGTCCTCGATGAGTATGTGAAAATTCTTTGATACTGTCACTTGAACATTTTGTTAAATAGCCATCACTCTAAATAACCATATAGTATGAGGTTTAGGGACTTATTAATAGTCTACAAAAATTTAAAGTTTTATACTAAATATTACAAATCGCAGTATCATTTTTTATTAGTTTGAATGTTTCCAGGTCTTGAAATAAATCTTACCCAAGTGATGTTATGTTCTTAAAAAAAAAAAAAAAACAGCTCTCAACCAAAAGTGGGTTAGTTTTACTTCAGCTGAGTTTTATTTAATTAATTAATTTTTGATAGATTATCTACACTGGAAAGATAAAATCTTCAGAAAAAATGAGTTAAGATGGAGTGCAACAGTGGTTAAAACATGGTTTAAAAGGCAAGAAGGAATGAAACATACATGATATCATGAAACTGTAGAAAATAAAATGAATTCTCACCTGTCCATCCATTACTCCCAACAAAGTAGATTCCATCCACTGTACAGGTTCAATGAAATAAGATGTACATTGAGCCTGACTCCCTGTGGTTGGCATGAAAGATGGTATCATTCTCTTGTGGGCAAAAGCTATAGGACCACTTCCTTCATTATGATTCAAAATGCTAGAACTTCTAAATAAAGACCTCCTGTAATCCCCAAACAAAAACATTAATGACTTCCAAAAGGCTGAAATATAGTGGAAATGTGCAGTAATTCTTAAAGAATAAAATGACACTGCTTATGCTAATTTAATTTTTCATAACCTCTACAAATAACCTGGTTACTTTTACTTTTAAGAAGTTTTATTCTTCTTGAAAGTAGATTTATGTATTAAATTTGTTATTCCATTAAACAAATTCTTCCTACAAAATTTAAGAAGCTGAAACTTTTAATACCTTCCAGCTACTAAGACAAGATACAATTTCCAGAGGATATAAAATGTTTTACCTGCACTTTCTACATTTGTAGAGAACCTCATCTTTCAATCCTTGTGAAAGGGTGGTTGGGTCAACAGCAAAAAGTTCCTGAGGTAAGTTCTGCAATTCTACATGACATAATAAAAATGTATCCATTTGTCAAAATAAACTGCATTTTCAGACAAAATCAGTTAATACCAATCGAGGCAACAAGTGCTAACCTCAGAAATTTAAAAAAAAATCTTCTGCTAAAAAAAAAAATCAGGATGAGGTAGGAAAGCGTTGTGAATAAGGCCTTGGGTTCTGGGCAAAGACTGCCTGAGTTTAAATCCCAGCCTGCCACCTACACACCATGTGACCTTGAACAAGTTCTTTCTTGCTAAACCAGTTTCAAAAGGAAATAATAGTAGGCATCTCAAGGGATGGCTGGCAAAATGGGAAAATGCATCTGATGTGTTTAGCATCAGAGTGAAGAGTATCCAGAAGGGGCCCAATACATACTAGCAATTATTACTTACCTGGATACTTCTCTGTAACCTTTTGTAAACGATATTGCTTATAAATTGCACTAGAGGTATCTACTTGGTATCCCATTGCCTGGTATAATTTCAATTGCCACTCAAACCCCTCATTCATCCTGTAAGAGCAAACAAATATAAATAAAATATATAAATAAAATCACATCACAAAAGCAGAATTATTACTATAACAAAGAAACTCACTTAGCCTTTGGCTTGATAGTCTGGAGGTTTTCATAGGCTTTTTCAAAGGTAAGTTGGTCAGTCTTCATCATAAAAGCAGTTATTATAGCCACACTTCGACTGACTCCTGCATGACTGAAAAAGAGACCTTTAAAATAAAATAGCAAATAGGAAAAAAAAAAAAAAAACAGCCCACTATTCACGGTCAAGTTCAGGTCTACTTCATGTCTGCATCTATGCAAATCTTTTACCTCTGAAATATTACCGAAAGAGCTATTCCTTTATTTCCTTATTCATTTTGAATTCTGAACCATGTAAGTGTAATAACTACTCAGAAACAATTACACTCATTAAAAAATTTTTAATGGCTTTATAACAAATCCAAACTCCTTTGCTCTTGGCATTAAGGGCCCTGGAGATCTGGTCCCAGGCTTCTTTCCCTTTTACCTCCGGTTCCTTTATGAAAACATTTAGAAAAGGTGCTGGCACACAGTAAAAGTGCTGGCAATAAACTTAAGCCAATTCAGTCAAAGAGGACTCTTAGGCTCAAAACCTATCAAGATATTTTAAATCTCTTTACCGCCGATACAATTTAATCCATCTTTCCCTTGGGCATAGTTTAGGGATCCTTCATATCCTAATTTTCTCTTCCCAATTCTCCCTTTAAAATCAACCACTTCCTGCCCCAAAAACCAATGAAAATAATCTGCTCTTGCTCTGCAGTTAGAATAACCTTAATCTCTCTTAGTGTACGACTTGCATCGCTGTCTGCACTATCACCTGTGTCTGACTGTAATGGGTATGTGTCTGGTTTATTCTGAAGAACTTTATGATCTTTAGATGCAGGGACTTTGTCATTTATCTGGTGATCCCCCCACTCCAATAAACAACAGTTCAGGGAGCTGCAGAATGAGCCACCAAAACAAGGACGAATGAAAGCATGCGCGCCAGCAGGGGCCCGCTCCTCTCCTCTCTCGGACGTGCGCCCACCGCGGGACGCTAACGGGGGTTCTGGTGGCCCGACAGCCCCTTTGCCCTTCCTGGGGCCCGGGAGCGAGGGGAGGGGGGTTGGCAGGCTGGAAGCAAGGCGGGGCTGCTCTCCCGCGGTCCGGGCCGCTCACCAGTGCACCAACACCGCACGGCCCTCGGCGCGGGCCTGGCCAATGAAGGCCACGCACCCGTCCAGATGGCTGAGCAAGTCGGTCTCGGGCTTGTCCAGCGCCGGCACGAAGAGGCTCCGCAGACCCTCGACCTCAACTGCCGCCCTGAAGTCAGGCTCCTCTGAGTCCACCGTCAGCACCGCCGTGATGCCCGCCTTCCTCAGGCGGTCCGGCTCTGCCACAGCCGCTGCTCCCCCCAGGTACAGCCCCGGGCGCACTTCCAGCATCTGCCCAGCGGAGCTCGCCCGGCTCTGGCAGTGCCCGGGGCTGTCGCAGCCGTGACTCCCACCCTCGGCTTCCAACGTGGCAGCGCCCAGGGCCCGGGTGGCCCCGGGCCCCACCATCGAGTAGGCGGCCGGCTAGAACGTCCTTCCTCGGGGACCGGCCGGTGGGAGGAGCACAGCGGCGCCCTCGGAGGACCTCGCTAACCGCAGGAAGTTGTCGTTTCTGGGGGGCGGGGGGAAGTGACGCTACTGAGGCGGAGCTAAGCCCCATTCAGAGCAGCCTTTCTACCTGTGCCTGGTTTCCGTTCTCCTTCTAATTTGGTGGTAAAGCGTAAGCTTAACCAGGTGAAGAGTTTCCCAGGTCGACAGTGTTGAGACTTTATGGAAAGAGGTAACAGGAGCAGCTGGGCTCAAATATGAAATGAAGGTCCCACCAAATGAATCAGCCGCGTCGTTTTATGCACTTGTAGTAAAATATTTTCTCAGTGCTTATGAAGCCATTTGTTTTCTTTTCATGACTTTTCCTCTTTTTCTTCTTTTGCCCAGTTTTTTTTAAATTGGTATGTGAATCCTTTTCTTACGGATGCATGCTGTTCTGTATATTCTGAAGACATTAATCCCATGTTTTGGTATGCCACTGCCCTCCAGCCAAAGACCACCGCAAACCCGCCTGTACTTTATAACACGTTGGGGGTTCTTTCTCAACCGTGAACTGTGGAGAATTTCAGGACATCTCAGAAAGAAGTTGTTAGAAAGGTCCTATTACAGGCATATCTAGAAGATACTCCAAGTTCAGTTCCAGACTACAGCAATAGAGCAAATATCACAACAAAGTGAGTCAAATGAACTTTTTGATTTTCCAGTACATTTAAAAGTTAGGTTTACACTGTACTGTAATCCATTAGATGTGGAATAGCATTGTGTGTCAAAAAATGTACATACCTTAATTTTAAGATGCTTTATTGCTAGGAAATGCTAACCAACATGAGCTTTCAACAAGTAATCTTTTTGCTAGTGGAGTCTTGGCTCAATGTTGTTCAGGATGGTGGTTGCTGAAGGTTGGGGTAGGTGTGGCAATGAGTAAAAATAAGACAACAATGAAGTTTGCCAAATCAACTGACTTCCTTTCACCAATGATTTCTTTGTAGTGTGGAATGCTGTTTGATAGCATTTTAACCACAGTAGAATTCAAAATTGAGTCAGTTCTCTCAAACCCTACTGCTGCTTTATCACCTAATTTTATGTAATATTCTAAATCTTTTGTTGTTATTTCAATAATCTTCACAGCATCCTCACCAGGAGTAGTGTCCATCTAGAGAAAGCATTTACTTTGCTTCTCCACAAGAAGTAACTCTTTATCCATTATGGTTTTATCATGAGATTATAAAAATTCCATCACATCTTCAGGCTCCATTTCTAACTCTAGTTATCTTGCTGTTTCCACCACATCTGCAGTTACTTCCTCCACTGAAGTCTTGAACCTCTCAAAGTCATCTGTGAGGGTTAGAATCAATTTCTTCCAAACTCCCATTAATGTTGATATTTTGGCCTCTTCACATGAGTCACAAATGGCATCTAGAATGACATCTTTTTCAGAAGGTTTTCAATTGACTGCCCAGATCCATCAGAGAAATCACTATCTATAGCAGCTACTTTTAAATAATTAGTTTTGAAAGTCATGATTAATCATTGATCCATGGGCTGCAGAAGGGATGTTGTGTTAGCAGGCATGAAGATATCAATCTTGTTGTTCATCTCCATCAGAGCTCTTGGGTGACAGGTGCAGTGTCAATGAGCAGTAATATTTTGAAAGGTATCTTTCTGAGCAGTTGGTCTCAATAGTGGGCTTAAAATACTCGGTCAATCATGTTTTAAACAGATGTGCTGTCCCCCGGCTTTGTTGTTCCATTTATAGAGCACCAGCACAATGGATTTAGCATAATTCTTAAGGGTCCTAGGATTTTCAGAATGGTGGATGAGCATTGACTTCGACTTGAAGTCACCAGCTGCATTAGCCCCTAACAAGACAGTCAGCCTGTCCTTTGAAGCTTTGAAGCCAGGCATTGGCTTCTGCTCTCTAGCTATGAAAGTAGATGGCAACTTCTTCCAACACAAGGCTGTTTCATCTACATTGAAAATCTGTTGTTTAGTGTCATCATCTTTATTAATGATCTGAGCTAGATTTTCTGGATAACTTACTGCAACTTATGCATTAGCACTTGCTTTTCACCTTGTACTTTAATGTTACTGCGATGGCTCCTTCCCTTAAACCTCATGAACCAACCTCTGCTAGCTTCAAAATTTTCCTCTGTAGCTTCCTCACCGCTCTTCAGAGAATTAAAGACAGTTAGGGCCTTGCTCTGGATTAGGTTTTGGCTAAAGGGAATGTTGTGCCTGGGTTAATCTCCTGTCCAGACCACTAAAACTTTATTATCGGTAGCGAGGCTGTTTCACTTTTTTATTATTCATGTGTTCACTGGATTAAGCACTTTTAATTGCCTTTTAGAACTCTTTTGCATTCACAGTGTGACTAACTATCATAAGAGGCCTAGCTTTGGCCTATCTTGGCTTTCAACATGCCTTCCTTACGAAGCTAAACATTTTTAGCTTTTGATTTAAAATGGGACATTCAACTCTTCCTTGTACTTGAGCATTTAGAGGCCATTGTAGGGTTATTAATTGGCCTAATTTCAATATTGTTGTGTCTCAGGGAATAGGGATGTCTGAGAAGAGAGGGAGAGAGAGGGGAACCACCTTCAATGGAACCTTGAGAACCACACACATTTGTCAAGTTTGCCATCTTACATGGGTACAGTTCATGGCACCCCAAAACAATTATATAGCAACATCAGAAGTCACTGATCATAGATCATCATAGAAAATGTAATTGTGATGAAAAAGTCTGAAATATTGAAAGAATTACCAAAATGTGACAAAGAAACACCATAAGCAAATACTGTTGGAAAAATGGTGCTGTTAAACTTGCTCAGTGCAGCATTGCCACAAACCTTCAGTTCACAAAAAAAAAACAGTATCTGTGAAGTACAATAGAGTGAAGAGCCATAACATGAGGTTGCCTATATAGGATCTGGGCTTGTATTAGGTGACTTGGGACAGGTCTAAGACAGTAGGACTTTGCTCAGGATTGGATGCTGTGAGGAAGTAGAAGTGATTTTATGATTGCGTATCTTAATAAATTTTACTTAAAGGGAGGGAAGGCTAGAGAGAATCTATAGCTGTAATTGGTCAAGAAGTAGGATTCATGTTATCGGCATAAAAACACACGTATTCCAATGGAACAGAATACAGAGCCCAGAAGTAAACCCTCACATGTATGCTCAAATGATCTTCAATAAGGGTGCCAATGGGGAAATGGGGAAAGAACAGTCTCTTCAAATGGTGTGAGGAAAACTGGATATCCACATGTAAAAGAATGAAGTTGGATCCTTGTACTATATACAAAAATTATTTCAAAATGGATTAAACCTGAACATGAGACCCAAAATTATAAAAATCTTGGAAGAAAACATAGAAGTAAATGGCACTGGATTTGGCAATGATTTGTACATTTGACTTCAAAAGCATAGGCAACAAAAGCAAAAATAGACAAAAAGGGCTACATCAAACTTCAGAACTTCTGCCCATCAAAGGAAACAATCAATGGAGTAAAAAGGCAACCTATGGAATGGGAAAAAATAATTGCAAATCATGAGTGTGATAGGAAGTAATATCTAGAATATATAAAGAACTTGTACATGAGTGATGTCAGCATCATGGGTGAATAAGCCATCCCTCATTCATGTCCCACCCACCAACAAGAAGTTGATATCCATCCATGGACAAAAGTGCTTCATGTGAGCTGTGGTATCCAACACCATACACCAAGGGACCCAGGAGGAATCTTGCTCTCTGTGTGTCAGGTCTCAGGCATACAGACCGTGGTCCTGGCTGCGGATCCTGCAGTGGCCTGCAAACAGCTCCCTTCTTAGCTGTGGACTGGAAGCCCATGGAAAGTACTGTCTTAGATGATCACCATGGACAGTAATGCCTCTGTGGAAATCCAGGCTTCCGGAAGAGAAGTTGTAGCAGACAGTTGGAACAACAAAAAATGTACGTGTGTGCGCGCGCGCGCATGCGCGTGCACGTGCTTAGACACACTGGAGAGGTTAAGAGGAATAATTTGGCTTTACTCACATCATTCCTTTTCCAAGGCAGCACCAAATGCCAGTAAAGATGGTCTTGGCCCATGATTCCTTCTATATGGGAAAGAGAGCATGTGAGTGAGTGCGTGGCTTCCCAGCTGTGCAGGATGCTACCAGAGGCTCATTTCTCTCTTGCCCCATCCAGAGTACTGAATTGTGAGCTGCATGCATACGTGCTGGGAAGAGGCTGAGAGAGGGCAGACAGGACTCTCAGAGAGCATTAAAGGGATTCCATCAAGAAGCCCACCATGAGCTGCTGGGGAGGTCTCACCCATGGATCCCGCCACCTGCCCCACAGTCATCTCCCATTACTCTGCATCTCACCCGTGCACACCTCCACACACACCCTGTGGCCAGTTCCCTGTGGGCGTTCCTGGTGGTGGTGAGAGTAGCTTTGGCAGATGGCTAGTGACCATATGCTCAAACCAGCCTGAACCTGCAGGCCAGGGAGAGAACACAAACTTAGGCTTTAGCACCATCTTTGGGAAAACAAGGCCATCAAATCAAGAGAAAGCATACAAGCTCAAGAAATCTGCCACAAGAGGGAGTAAGAAGCATGGGTCTGACAAAGCCTCAGAATCTCCAAGGGGGTTAATGGAAGGTATTTCTCTCCTGGAGGTAGTTTGTAAAGCCTGCAGGAGAAGACCGCTGCTTCAAATGTGAAGATAGCAATGCAAAATTTCAAGGAAACATGGCACCACCCAAGGATCATAATCTTCCACTAACTGATCCCAAAAGACATGGAGATCTGCGATTTTCCAGGAAAAGAATTCAAAAATAGCTGTTTAGGGAAACTCAATAAGAAAACACATAAAGGCAATTTAACAAAATCAAGAAAGCAATACACGAACAAAATGAGAAGTGTACCAAACAGAACTTATTAAAAAGGACCAATCAGGAAATCTGGAGCTGAAGAACACATTTTATGAAATTTTAAAAAATGCAATATATAGCATTGGCATCAGAATGGATAAAGCAGACGA